CATTTTGCGCATTTGATTTCTCCACACTTCTGTATTCACTGTGATATTCAAATCGCAGTTGATTGGAACCATGCTCGAAACCACCATTCGAAATGATAATGCAAAAAATCCAGCATCTGCTCATTATGTTTTCTCTACCACATTCACTCTAAACCTTAGTGATTATACCACTGATTTGACTATTTAGTCTTTGAAATACTTCAATATCGCCGTAACATCGCACAGTCACTTCACCTATTTAGTGACCAAGTATTCCGCGGCTTACAATTTGGTTTCGCCTAAATCGACTCTCTTACTCAACCTTCAACCTCAATTTACCTTTTGACGCGTTAGCCTGTTGGAATTCCATAACGCGACACCTCATCGGAATCTGCAGCTCAAGGTGTAGTGGAATCCTAAATGCCTACAAATGTTGTTGTTCTATCAGGAATTACGCCATTCAGATGATCGTCGTTCACATCTGTCCTCTTTCTTAAAATGAATCGTCCCCTAGTTCCACTACACGTTTACACAACAGCCTACCATCCATATGTCAGTAGTCCTGTTGAACTTGTCCATGAGCAGCTAAAATCAGCAATAAGTAAAACCACTTCTGGAATAAATTTGTCGGAAAGTATTCCATTCATTCTTTACTTTTACATATATTTGTGCAAACGAAATCTTCAAAAAATGGCTCCCAATACATTCAGTCCAACGACTAATATCCGTTCTCAACAGAACTTCTTGACTATATTCAACTGATGACAATTCCACGAACATGGGGTCAACAACTTGACAGACATAATTATAGAATAGTCAGAATGCGACAATTACCAGTATGAACTCTGTCGTTTCTTAATACTCCCATGATAATTCAAATGCATCAAAAATTGTTCAACGCAAAGGTGGGAGCTTGCCAAATAAACGCAGAACTTCTTAAGTTCGTGTAACAAAAATAACCGATTCCAAGAAAAAAGATTGTACTTGGCACAATTTAAGTAGCATTATTCTCAAAAGGCAAACAAAAGCTGATTGGGAGGAAAAGGAATACAAAGGTAGTGAGGTGTAGATACCCAAGTGTCAGATGACAGAGAAGAATGTAAGTCAAGTAACAAATTTTGACACCAAAAGTTGGCTCAGGTAAATCTCGAATATAAAATGGAATTGTAAATAAGAATTTACGAAATAAAAATGGGAAATTGCAAGTTATATTGACGAGTGGACAAGTGGGCTCAAATTAAGGTTGAAATTCATCTCACTTCTGTTGCCACATCCCGGTGACAGCAGTTTCCGCACTCTACCTGGAAGTAGCTCGATTACAGGCACAAGAACCTAGGCACACATAATTTGTTGCCAATCAGAAATTTATACATCTTTCTGATTTATAACAGGGACTTCCCGGCTTATTGACGTTGGAATCATTCACAAGCACCTTGGAATACAGGTTGATTGCAAGGAGCAGAGTAACCAACCTATTGATGCAACTATCAACACGAAGATGGCTGTACAACACCTGCAGTCAAAAGTAGAGTCCAACGATCCACAGCCCCCAACCACGTCCATTGCAGGCAGTGGGTTTGCAGACACAAACCCACCAACTCCACAACCCTCGCCAGACTCAAATATTATTAGTATGAGTTCTGGCAGATTTATTGTTATCTCTTCCGATCCTAAGGTGGCCGTCTTTCCTCCTGGAAGTCAGATTCATCTTGGCGATTTAAGAAATCACTCTTTCTATACCTCTGGTTATAATATACAAATGATCCCATAGTGATACCACTTCATTATTCGGCACCCGTTTCCAATTAAACCGCATCCGGAAACAAACCTGCAACTGCAAACACAGGACTTGAAGGTACATGTTGTTTCAGATTCCGAAGCTTCCAAATTTTGCTGTTTCAGTCATAATTTCATGAGTCAATTTCATTTCTGGACAACTCCCAGGAGATAGACCAGAAGGTGTGGTGAATAGTGGGTTGACAAATGAAGATCTATCAACCCACACGTTTCCTCGTGGTTCGATTTTCGCTGTGTGCCCTGATCAGCCATATATCGTCCAAGATATTCAAGTCACAGCCATTTTTTCTCGAAATACCTGGATCCATCTAACCTAACATTGCGACTTCCAGTTTTGTCATTCACAGTTGGTGCTGGTAATGGAATGGTTAATCCGCACCCGTTGAAGTGAGAGAGCTTTTCAACTTCACTATCGCTTTCTCAACTGAATTGTCACACTCTTTCAGATCCCACACAACAGTGCTCATCAATATGAGTCGAGAGTAGCCATGAAGAAACTCGAGTGGACACACGCCTCGATTCGCGCTCAACACATTTCTCATGTGTCCATCCTTTGCTAAGTTCTCCTTGGAGAAGTGGTGCTGCCTACAAGGGAATGGAGAGAATGCGAGTGAGAGTGAGAGTTAGCTTGGCTGAGTCGAGTCAAAGATTAAGTAGCAAAATGTGTGATAACGTCATTGCACTTTTAGTAAAAGTAGGAAACGAGATAGTTTATTACTTAATTGATGTCTCAGTAGATGGAGTACGCGTGTCTGGTAGATCTGTGGTCATTGGATGACCAGCCACTCGTTTGAATGACAACGGATGTTTATCAATCCGGGAAATTTCGACCGTCTTTCAATGCTCCTCCAATGTACTTAAGCATACTAATAATTAATTCCATCAAGGCTGGGTATTTCTCTTATCTGATATAATAACTTGTGGTCAACCTGAGTCAAAATACAGAGGTCGGCTTCAGATACACGAATTGAACAATTTTATTTAATCGTAATTTGACGGAAGGGATTGCGTAGCTAGTCAAACAAGGCAAGAAATATTGGGAAATGGCTAAGATCATTAAGTCATTAAAGACAGCGAATCACAAGTCTCAACTCACTTTCATCTGGAGCAGTGAGTGGTTTATATTGTTATGTCGAAAGTGGTCGTTCCCACTTTCGACCTTGTTGCGTTCGACATTCATCAGTACTATTCAAACAATATGCATGTGTAGATTGCGTCCACTGAACTCACACCTCGACGACTGATTGGTATGTTTCGCTGTTAGCCACACAACATGTTTGGATCTTTGAATGTGCGAGAGCTGTAAGGTAGAGGTAAGAGTTATCAATTCAACATACCACCACTATATTATAACAGTGCGTCATGAAACGAGTCAGAATCAATGACAGACCCAGAATGTCAATTGAGAACGTGGTTGAAGTGGCGAACAGTTCTTCCATACCAATAGTTTACAGAGAAACGATTGCATTTCCAGCATCAACTGCGAATGGCAGATGTGTAACTGTTAATATCATAATACGGATTCCACTGATTGCCTCCTTCACTACTTACATCCTACCCTTGTGGCTTCCAATCATTCAAAGTATTCTCCACAATTTGAAATGTGATACCAATCAGATGTCACAACATTTCTTCCATTTAGCTTCTATTTTGATAGAAATAATCCAGCTTTTGGGTCTCCTTCTTTGACGACAGGTCAGGAGAGTGGAAGGGGAGGTGACGAGGACAGAATCAATCCCAGTGTTAACTCTTCTTGAGCTATATCCTCGGCATCAGCTGCCAGTTAAGTTTCTGAGTTTGTGAAGTTGAACGAACTTGCGGAATTGATAACAGGTGCGCGCCTTAATGCTTTCAAGAAAACAAATCAGTTAGGAATGTTAGTGGTCCTTACGTTTTCTCAACTCCAACTTATGATGTTGAGGACAACGCGCTTCGTGACAGAATTGTCCAAGTTGATGGTGCACTCCTCTACCGTATCTTGATTGTTGATAAAATCACTCAGAATGATCTCACGAATTTAATTAAATTACTTATCAGTTCGGAGTACTGTAAACCTAAATGACCATTAATCAATTGAATTTTCAAAACATCTCTCCGAGATGGTAAGCAATCATAAACAGACGACAACTGATATAGTTTGCAGTGAAATTGACTAACATGTCTTTTTCCATTTGAAAACTGTCCCACTATCCTCTCTATTACATCCGCTATTCACTGGATCAATCACTACATCATTCTGTGCGTAGAAAACTTCAGACCAAACTGAAGATTGGTAACACAGCATAGTCAAAGGTTTCGAAACGCGGAAATGAATCTGTTTCATTTTGCGTTCACCTAAGATGAACATGCGGTCAAATAGAAAAACATTTATTAAATAAGTGTTGCAGTGAGTCAAGTTGGTGATCGTTATCAACAAATCACTATGATCATGTTTATCCTAAATGCATTTATTTTAACCCCGATTACTTAAAATGCAATCATTCAGGTCAACCACTTGGTGCCACCAAAAGTGTTTAGTTCAAGCCACAAAATTATCATCGGTATCACAGATCCATTGTGGTAAATGCAAATATTATCGGGGTCAATATGAAGTACATTGTACACTGCATCTGGGCAATGTGACAATAAATATGTCAACAACATTCAAAATGTCTATTATTGGAATTAAAAAATATTGGAGTGTAATATTCTTTCAATCACTACAAAACAAAGAATAATCTGCTGAAAGCAAAATAGGATCTTGAATAAGATTCTACGTTTCATCTTAATTGGCCAATTAATGCAATCGGTTCACCGGAATCGCGAACCATAACTTGATGACTCGGTGGTGAAAAGTGATTTGTTACTTCGAAAATGTATGGTTCAAATTTTAAATGCCAAGTTTTAATATACTCTCATCTGGAGCTGTGAGTGGTTAATGAACGATTGAAAATCATGTTTTAAATTCAGAATTGTCTGAGGACATGGTTAGGGACACGTTTATTCGTCGTACTCTGCGAGTAGACAATGGAAAGTGACACAGCCTGTGAAGGCTATAAGCACCAGTAGGCTGCTTGCACCTCGATTGCAATACTGCCTATTCTCAACAGACTAATCAGGGTGCAGCCTCATCTTATGTATTCCGCATACTCAAACTGTGAATGGCAAGCCGAAAACGTCAGTACCACTGAAAGTAATCAAGCACCTGAAAGCAGAAGCAGTTGAAGCCCTTCGATTTGCGGTTTGGGGAAATGAACTTTGTGTGGGGGGGGGGGATGTTGTGGTGAGAGGGTGAGGAATCAAATTGTGGCAGCTAATGCAATTGTCCACTAAGTTGGATTCGTTTCACCTACTCAAGAGCCAGATTTGTGGGAGATGGGTGGTGTTAAATGGAACTTACAAAATGAAAATACTCTTTTAATTTTGTGGAGTCATTCTCCCTGTTATCCTTGCAGGTTATTGGTTCCTATCGATAAGGGCTAATGGGGCTTCTTCGCTACTCTAAGACACCTTCGAATTTCCCACTTTCAATACTAACTATTGGCGTCAAGTCAATGTGCAGTGGTATAATAAAATGCAAAATTTATTCATAATTCGAATGTGTGTTTCCACAAGGTTTTGAGAATTTGGATGTTTCACAGAGATGGAGAGAGAGGGGGGGGGGGGGGGGGGGGAAAAGA